TGGGTGGAACCATTGGTTTGACGCTAAAGTTTAATATAAAATTCTAATTTTTAGTAACCAAAAATAACAATTTTGGGGTACTAATCTGCAATGTTGATCAGTACTAATTATAATTTTAAGATACAAATTTTGGGCCCAAATAAATATTTTGGCCGATATGTTATTTCATATTTTATATTTCGTACAACTGACTATTGCATTACACTCACATTTCGTACAACTGACTACTCACATTTTGTACAACTTATTTATGTTTTGTACTACCAACTATTATTTAGTACCACTAGGCTACATGTAGCCATAGGCTACAACTATATTAATTCTTATTACAATAAGAAAAATTGAATATATATTTCAACTTAATGAATCAGTATTTTTTGAAAATGATGAATATATTAAAAATAGTTCAAGAGCTAGTTTAATTGCTAAAAACAACAATATATGAAAAGAAATTAATAAGATAATTTGTGAAAATACTAAAGAAGAAGGATATATTGTATCTGGTCATGATTCTGCAACAAATATTCTTTCTGATACTGAATTAAAAATTCTATTAACCGCTGATTTTGAAACATGTATTTAAAGAAGATTAAATCAATTAAAAAGTGATAATCATAATGATATTCGTTTAGATATAATTAAACAAGATACATTATCAATTGAATTTATTAAAGAAATTATAAAACTTTTAACAATTTTTGTTATTGATACAATATATCTTTCAATAGAAGAAATTGTAGATAAAATTTTATTAAAAACTTCAAATATGATTAGTAAATTTATTTTTTAAAATTTATTTTATTATTTTTTTTTATGTTATTTTTTTATCAAATATTCTATTTAGTTTATATGACCGAATAAAATTTTATTTATATAAACAAAAAAAATGGGTGAAGAAAAATCTTTAAAACTGGTGAGTAATTACTTAACTAAGTTTGGAAGTAATACTGCTCTAGAAAAAAATAGATATATTCTAAATATATTATATATTGAGGGTATATCTGAATTTTCCAAAAGATATTTAGTATCCATAATAGGTGGCGTTGAGTTAAAATTTGACAGTGATATTTGAATATTTGGATAAATAAAAAACTTTGTTAATATTTTTTCAGTCTAATTATTTAATTGGTCATAATTTTAAAAAACATTTTGATTAGTTGCAAATATAATTGCTTGTAATTCTGGTGACTTTGGAATAGATATAATTGCAAATCTAAACAAACAAATATTTTTAATTTAATATAAAAATATTGTAAAATCTCTTGGTTTTCAAGATTTACAAAAAATCAAATCAGCTTTTAAAAGATTTGGTGAAGAAATAGGAATTATTATTTATAATAGTGAAAAATTACAAAAGCTATTAACCAAACAAGCTAAAATTTGGTAAAAAAGTTGTTGTTCAGAAATTAAAATTCTAAATGAAAAAGAAACACTTAGTTATTTTAAAAAATATACAAAACAAAAAGAAAGAAACAAAATAATTAAATATTTAAATCCACAAGCTAAAGAATATTATATTGGTGGTAATATTAAGATGAAGAGATTTAAAGCTGATAAATGTATTATTTATTCTCTATATTAATATATTCAGTGAGTTTTCACCAAATATAATTTTATTTATGTAATCTTAAAAAAAAATAGGTATTAAAAATTCAAAACCAAACTCTAAAGTTATTGTTGCTTTTGGTTCAATTGGTGCTGGAAAAACAACCTTTTTAAACAAATTAAAAGATTTTTTTGAAAACCAAGAATTAAAAGTATATTTTTCTGAAGAAATGTCACTTCGTCTTGGACAAGATTTGAAGTATTTTTATCAAGATACCCAGAGATATAGATTTATGTTTCAAGATTTTTTAATCAATGCATATTAGAAAGAGAATGAAATAATCAGAAAAAATAAATATGATATCTATTTAATTAATAAAACTGCCAAAGATACTAAGATTTTTTCTGAAATTCTTATTGATAATAAGTTGAAACTTGATTATTTTAAAAAAAAATTGAAAAGGAAAAAAAAATTAATGCTAAATATAATTTTTTTATCAAATATTCACCTGAAATTTGTTATAAACAAAAAATTAAAAGAAATAGAGAGAGTAAAAAGGTTTCATTAGAATATTTAAAAACTCTTTGTGAGGGCTATAAAAAGAAGACTTCTAAATTATATCCTAAACATATTGTTTTTAATATTGATGATGCTAAAGTAGAAGAATATAATATATATTTCCAATAATTATTTAAAAATCTAATCAGTTTTTTTTTAAAAACCAGTTAGAAAATTAATTAACATATTTTCATGAAATAACGGGCATGGGTGTTATTTCAAAAATTGTAACCCTTAAAAATAACATATATAGCTTCGAAATAACACCCATGTGCATTCTGAAATAATGCACATCCCATAATAAGAAGTATTTATTTATTGTCATATTAAAAAATGCTTTGAAACTAGGTTTGATACTAAGTAAACTTAGTTTCGAAGCAATTTTGTTTTATATAAAAAAATACTTAAAAATTTTATATTTGTTTCAAAATAACACCCATGTGCATACTTGAAATAATGCGCATATATTCAAAATAATGTGCAGGTGGATGTTTTTTTGCAAAAATACGGTATATAAATTAAAAATGTGTATTTTTTGTCAAGGGCTTCAACAGTTACAAGAAAATTTTTTATATATTGATATTCTTGATTATTCACTTTTTCAATAGTTTCAAAAAAATATTATGAAATCTTAAGCTTAATTACTGAATTTAATTATTCTCTGAAAAAGATTAAACCAGAAGAACAAGTAATTAAATTTTTATCTATTTGTAAAAAAATAGTTAAAGCATTGCATTATCAAGAAAATTACAAATTATATACTATTAATGAAAATAAAGTATATTAATAAATAATATTTAGTTATAATTAACCGAATAAATTTTTTCATATGTATATGAAAATGATACATAAAGATTTAATAAATTCTTATAAAAAACCAGATTTATTTTTTGTTTATGAAGCTGTTGATGCTTCTAATTATAAAAATTATTTGTTACATTTATTCTCTGTTTGTACAAATGAAGAAAAATAACTATAAATATTGTTGTAAAAGATATATTTTTGATATTAAGTTAAAGAATGAGAGTGAAGAATTAATTGATTCATATATTGATGAATTTAAACTAGATTCTTTTGAAATTATTAAAAAACAGCTATTTGATTCAACAGAAAAATATAATTTTATTTATTTATATTTCAAAATATATAAAGAACAAAAAGTAGCATTACAAGAGTTAAAAGATAAACTTGATGAATTAAACAAATTAAAAGAACAAGCATATTTAAAAGAAAAAGAAAAAGAAATTATACAAAAAATTGAAAAATTCTGGAAATGATATGATACCTATTCAGATGATTTATTATGTTATTATAGAAAAGTTGTATAAGAAAATAATTTTGAGCTTGTTGGTTGGTATCGATTAAAGGTTAGAAGAATTTACAATAATATTTTGATAACTTTAAATAATATTAAAAAGGTTGATTTATCAAAAAAGATATCTAAATTAATTATAGTAGCATGGGATACAGAATGAGGTAGCCAATGTAGTTCTGGATATTTTCTAGAAGGTAATGAGAAATTGGATTACATATATATAATTCAATTTGACATATTTTTTTATAATAATCCTAAACCACTTAAAAGATACAATATCACAACATTACCAATAAACACATCTCTTTTTTTTTTTAAATATTCAGAAAAAATTTCATGTGATTTTAAAGATTTTATTTTTGTTAAAGTAGAAACTGAAAAGAAACTATTATTAAGATTTGCTAAAGTATATTATAGATTTAATAGAGATATTGAAATTAGATATAATACAGTGAGTTTTGATTGGCCAAATATATTAAAAAAAGTAGAATTACTAGGAATTAAAAATGAATTTGTTGAAAAGTTATTGGAAAAAAATCTAAATTAATTTCAAATATATATGAAAAAAATATTTGTATTGTTAATAAAGATTTAGATAGAGAGAATTCAAAGTATAAATTTGCAAGCTTCAATATTATAAATAGAGAGATAAAAGTTAATCCAATAAAAATACAAAATGTGAATATTTTTATAAACAGGATACAATATTTGTAGATTTATTAGTCTAGGCTAAAAAAATATTTTAACAAAACTTAAATATACGTTAGATCATATTTTACAAATTTGTAAGTTAGAGAGAAAGGCTGATCTACTATATCTACTAGAGAATTATAATAATTTATATTTTATGTATATTTATATTACAGCAATCAAACATTTTTTCAATCTAGAACTTTTAAAAGAATTAGCAAAAAGTTATCATTGAAATGTAATATTGAATATCAAAAATGTTTGGATTCATTACTAAATATTTTATTTAAAAAATTAGATGAATATAGGGTTGAAATTGCTTACTATTGTTCTATTGATACTCTATGTTTACAAAAACTTTTAATTAAACAAAATATAATTGGAGATTATATTCAATTAGCAGCCTTATCATGTGTTTCTATTTTAAATATATTTTTAAATAGAGTTGGAACATTAGTTTTAAATATATTTGGAAGATATACTGCAAGAGCTGATAAATTATTATCAACAACTCATAAAGGAATAATCAAAGTTGGAAATAAATATGAGGGAACATTGGTATTAGAAGTTAATAATAGAAATATTACAAAACCTGTAGCAGATTTAGATATTAATTCATTTTATCCAAATGCTATAATTCAAATGAATATGTATTTATCAACATTAGTAACAGATGAATCCAAAGACATTTTATTAAATATTGTTCAAGATAATGAAATAATCTATAAAAAATTTAAACTACATTATAATAATAAAAAAAAAATAGGAATAATACCATTAATATATAAAAAATTATTAGAAGAGCAAGTAGTTGCAAAAGAAAAAATGAAAGAATTTAAAAAAGATACAATTTTATCAGCATATTGAACATCATTGTTCAATGTATTAAAAACTATAGCAAATGCTACATATAGTTATAGTGGCTCTAGATTTTCTCTATTATTTAAGAAACCAGTAGCTTCATCTGTAACTGCTTTTTGTCATTAGAGTATATAATAATTTATGGTGATCAGATTCAATATTTTATATAATACCAATAGCTTATTTAAAAAATTTAATATCTGAAAAGAAAAAAATTAAACAAACAATTGAAATTTCTAAAAAACTTGAAGAACAAGTTAACGAATTTTTAATATCACAAGGAAAAATTTTTATTCAAATATCATATGAAAAAACTTTACATCCTTGTATTTTTTTTAAAAAAATATTATTGTGGTTGTGCATATGAACATGAACCTGAACTTGATAACCCTAAATTATTTTTAAAAGGATTAAAAGTAAAAAAACAAAATATATTAGAATTTAATAAACAAATTGAAAAAGAGATGATTTGGAGGATATTAGGATTTAATAAAAAAAAACAATTAGTTGATAACACTTAAGATCCTAAACAGATTATTTTAGATGTTATAAAAAAATATATTCAAATAAAACATGATATTAACTTATTTACATTAAACACAAATTATAAATCATCTACTGATATTGGAGTGCAAGATTTTATTATCGAAAAAACAACAAAAAAGAAATTAATCTAAGTAAAATAAATCAAAAAACAAAATCAAAAAAAGAAAATATAATAGTACTTGATTTTGTTTAAAAAAGAATTGATAATATTAAAATAATAGCACCGAGAAGATTTTTTTATTATATTTTAAATCTTGACTATAAAAATATAGAATATAAAATTTGTTTAGTTAATAAATTTGATCCTAACAAACATAAGATAGATTTACTTTATTATCTAAAAGTTCAAAGGATTTATATGAAAGTTTTTTTTATATAAAAAAGAGAAAGCTGAAAAATAATAATTTTTCTGTATAAAAAAAATTACTGATAAATTAGAGCAAACTAAGATAGATAATAATTTAAATATTAATTCTATCATAGAAAAGAGAAGTAGTAATAATTACTTTAAACAAAAGAAAGATAAAAAACAAGAATTAAAAAAAAAGTAAAAGTAGATAGTAAAATTACAGATTTTTTTCTGAAAAATAACTAATCAGTATATAAATACTGATTAATCTATTAATAAGTTAATTAAAAATGAATATTAATCATTTACCAACTGAGTTACTTTATGAAATATTTTATTATCTAATAACTTCTGAGAAAATAATTTTTTTAGAAAGAAACTTTATTCAGTCAAAATTTGTATCGAAAACTTTTTATAATATATATTATGATATTTTTAGAAAAAAAGTTAATTGCCAATTCTCCAGTGAACTAAAGAATGTTTATAGTGAAACATGATGTGGTTCTATATATAAATTACTATAGATGCAAAAGTAAAAATTTTCTAGTGATTGTTCAAGAAAACCTTTTTTTTGTACTAAGTTAATCATCTTTGAGTCTCTAAGTAAAGTTGTAAAGCTTATCAAGATGAATCTAATGGTAGTTAAAAAATTTAAATCGGCCTAGTAGATGCCAAGATATCTTTGAAAAATGTTTCATTAACTATATAAAATTCTTTAAGAACAATCCAAAGAATTTTTATATAGTCAATGAAAGTTTTTTAAAGATATCTTGGCATCCACTTGGATGATTTGGATGATCTAACTACCATTAAATTTGTCTTGATAAGCTCTACAACTTTACTTAGAGACTCAAAGATGATTAACTTAGTACAAAAAAAAGTTTTCTTTGGACAATCACTAGAAAATTTCTACTTTTGTGTCTATAGTAATTTATATATAGAATCGTATCATGTTTCACTATGAATATTCTTCAGTTCACTAGAGAATCATCAATTAAAACAAAAT